AATCAATAAAGAAATTTTTAAAAATTAAAAAAAGGTGGTGAAACTGGTTTGGCTCAGCGGTAGAGCGTTGGTCTGCGGACTGAAAGATCCCAGATTCGATTCCAGTCAAGGGCATGTACATTGGCTGCGGGCACATCCCTGGTGGGGGGTGTGCAGGAGGCAGCTGTTCGATGTTTCTCTCTCATAGACGTTTCTAGCTCTCTATCTCTCTTCCTTCCTCTCTGTAAAAAAAATCAATAAAAATATCTTAAAATAAATAAATAAATAAGAAAATAAAAAAGGTGTCCTGAGGGGGTGCATGGCAGCGTGTCCGGGGTACTTGGTCATCTGGACACATAGGGCACACCTTCCCGGAGTATCATGTTTATGGAAAGGTTTTTGTGAGGGCTGCCGGAGGTGGGGTAATTTACCTGTTCTAAACAACATTTTCCGTGAGAGAGTGTATGAGAGGCACAACAGAAGGTAACATAAAATGCTGCGGAGTGGCAGCTTCGGCTTCTATCCCCAGGTTTCCTTTGAGCAGGGCTTTGCACCCGGGTGTTGGGGAGGGTGGCAATGGGGACCGATCTACAATAGGACAGGAAGAGAAGGAACAGGTAAGCACAAGGCACACACGTCCAGGCAGGGCCACAGAGCGAGCCATGCAGCCTGGTGGCCCACAAGCCAACACCTGCGCCCAGACTCAGTGTCACTTCTCAAAGCGGGGTAATGTTGATCTTAAGGATTTTGCTTTCAGGATTAAAAGGAATAGTTCATGCACCGGACCGCACCTGGTGGGGAGGTGAGCTGAATTCCGGGCCCCGTTACCAGCATCAGGGGCAGAGGGCTCCCCAAGGAGCCAAGGCAGCATTGGTTTTCCTTCTAGAAAGGAGCCGGGAGAGGGAGTGAGCGTGAAATACCAAGTGTGCCCTGAGGGCTGAGGGATGGTGTGTGGCAGCTTAGGGTCAGGGAAAGGCCAAGAGCTTGTGGCTCCTGAGCAGGAGGAAGGCACTTGTGCCCCAGCAGAGGCCCAAGGAAGACTGCAAGAGGTGGCTGGCCTTTCCTTGGCACTTTCCCTGGGCACATTAGCACTTGCAAAGCAGGAGCTCTCATCCCACTTATGTTTACCTTTGGCGGACATTCAATAGGAAAAAAAAATGAATCATTTCACATATTCTCTCAGCAGACAAAAGCTTTCAAACAATGGGGAACACAGCGTGAAATGATGGGACTGACCACTTCCTTAAGCTGCCGTGGCCATTTTGATGTTCCACACGCTCACATTTCATGAATTTGCATGCACTGGGATTATGAACAACAACAAAAAAAACAACCCGACCAGCATGGCTCAGTGGTTGAGCGTGGACCTATGAACCAGAAGGTCACGGTTCAATTCCTGGTCAGTGCACAGGATCCCCGGGTTGCAGGCTCAATCCCCAGTATGGGTGTGTAGGAGGCAGCCGACCAGTGATTTTTTTTCTCTCATCGTTGATATTTCTCTCTCTCTCTTCCTCTCCCTCCCAGTTCTGAAATCAATAAAAAATTTTTTAAAAAAAGTACAAAATAACAACACAGCAGAATCTCAGTACTCAAAGAGTGCATGGAAGGCCAGCGCAGGGCAGAAAGGAGCATTCCTGTTGAGTAAATGAAATACAAAACCAGTCTCCCCAGGTAGAAAGGGAGGAGAGGCAGGAGGTGGAACTAGGCTAGGCTCCCTTTCCCCACCTCCCCGCCTCTGAGAATAGCTCTCTTTGTTGAGAGAATACACCTGAGGTGAGCCTTCTCTCCCTCCATTCGACTCCAATTTGCTGGTCAGGTAAGCCCTTGCAGGTGCCCCAATGGGAATCAAACGTCCACCATTAACTCACCAACTCCCACACGAAACCAAAGCTGAGCCCGGGTCCTTTCACCGAGAAGAAAGAAGTGAAATGGACACTGCCCTCAGAGGGGCCAGCCCCAGCCCGTGTGGAAATGTTTCCATTTCTTAGACACAAAACCATTTATTTTTGGTCCGTTTCAGCATTTACAGCAGCGCACATGTAACACATTTCAATCCACACGAAGAGTTCCCAATCGTGGGAGCAAATTAATCTTTGACTAGCTCCTCAGCAGCGAGGCTAGAAGATAAACAGTAGGTGAGACAGTACACGCTCCCCTGTGCGTGAACCTTATTACAATAAACTCCCACATCGCGGCTCCCCGCATCCAGTCGCCGCCACTTCCCCTGTTCATGTGGCAGCCCAAGCTGCCCCCTGCCACCTCTGTCCTACTGGGGGAGTTCTCTGATCAGCCACCTGGGAGGGGACATGCTGCCATTTTCAGTTTGCGAGGAAGAGCCTGCAGATCTGCTTCCTGGAAGACAGACGCTGCTGACTTGTCCTCGGCCTCCAGAATGCAGAAAACATCAATGTCAGCGCCACCGCTCCTCAGAGGTGGAAACACCTGCCACTTCCTCTCTCAGTTGCAATTAGCATGCTGCATCTCAGCATTGATTGACCCCGAGCCGCCCAACACAGCCAATCAAGGTTTAAATGAGACCGTAGAACCTGATATTATTTTTCACAGTTTTAGAAACACGGACTTATTTGTGTTTTTATTGCCAAAGCAGCACCTACAATAGTTGGGGCTGCAAGTCTTAATGCTTAAGATGAATGTGAGCAGACGAGGTTGATGCTGCTAATAAAAGTAGTTCTTTATCTTTGTATTTATTCGGGAGTGGCACTTGTTTATGTTTGTATTGTTTTGCGTGTGGGCAGAGTGGAGGAAAAATATTCTTTCTGTATCCCAGCACCTAGCACAAGGCAGCAGAACCCCGATGGGCCTTTGGAGAATGTTTCTTAAACAAATAGATAAATAAATGAGTGGTTTGGGAGAGCAAGCTTAAGAATCATTCTCTTGGTCCAACTTATGAAAAATTCTGAACTAAGACCATCATGAGTTCAGCCAGTGTGGCTCAGATGAGCATTGACCTACCAACCAGGAGGTCATGGTTCGATTCCTGGTCAGAGTACATGCCCGGTTTGCAGGCTCATTGCCCTGTAGGAAGCAGCCAATCAATGATTCTCTCATCATTGATGTTTCTGTCTCTCTCTCTCCATTCTTCTCTGAAATCAATAAAAAATATATTTTTAAAAATACTATCATAAGCCTTTGGTTTAGCTTAGAAGCTGTGTGAGACTATGAAATAGGACCTGAGGCTGGCTGGGTTTTCCGTCTCACTCAGCGTCCTACATTGCTTAGCTTTGATCACAAGTGATCTTTCAGGGGACAGTGAAGGCTGTGTCTGTTTTCATCATAATCTTATTCATAGCGCATACAAAGAAACTGTCCTTAAAATGTACAATATGATACATTTTGAGGGCCTAAGAATAGAGGCCCTCAAAATGTATCATATTGTGAATAAGGAATGGAATCATTTAAAATACTTTAATGACCGCAATGTTTGCGTCCTTTTGGAAATGATCACTGAAACAGTTTCTATGTACTGGTAAAACGGAAGGCCAGTGCAAGTATGAGATTTATGTCTTAACTTGGCCAGATAAGACAGAGTCTTAAACCACAGAGTATTGTCTGTGGAAGAAAAAGTGAACAAATTGCTTCTCTCATCTATTAACACAATACTGGAGCCAAGAATTACCTTCTTTCTTGGCCTTGTTGGGAGAATCTTTCTTTTAGGTGGAAAGAGAACAAATTTAAATAAGTGGCAGTTAATTCTTTTGCACAATAACAACCCAGACACTACACATTTGAGCATCATCTGTTAAATGTACGCAAGCATCCAAAATGCACTTGTATATAACTGATAGAAAAGTCTGGGCTTGAATATGTCTACACATTCTAGAATGAAAATTGAATATTAATTCTTAAAATAGTAATATTCCTGCACATCCATAGTCTCACCTCCAATTGCCTGATGGCTAGAAATATTAGTTTGACTATCTCCATAAATATTTAATACTACATAATTCTCTGCCCTAAACATCTGAGTTATTTGTATATTAAATAGCTTATGTACCAACATCTTAGTGAAAATAGGTCTTCTCCAAATTATAACGTAGGAAAACCAGAATTATGAGGCAATCATATTAGCAATTTCCACCAAATAAATAAAATAGATAAATAGCTGTAAGAGACACAGTTTTCATAGATAAATAGATAGGTAGATAGATGCCTATACATGCTTCCTAATATTAGAATTTAGGCATCAAAAGACTTGATTCTGAAAGAAAAGAGAAGGGGGGAAACCCTACAACCTTAGGAGCTTGATATACCATGGAAATGTCATGTTTTAATATGACCCAAAACATTGGTGGACTCGGAAAATCCAGTTATACTTTCTATTTCTGGCTTGTCGGCTGGCCAGGTCCATGTATATAGACAGCATCTCAGACAGAGATGGTTCATGGCTCAACTCATTTTGAGGGAAGTTAGGTCTGCAGTCAGAGCTGACTGTTGCAAAGCACCTTTTGTCCAATGATGCATTTAAACACTTGCAGAAACAAGAGAGGCCAAATATACAGCAACAAAGGGTCCTCCAGTCTGCCTCTTGTCGATGATAGAGCCAGTCTTCACAGAATCCCATTGAGGGAGAACAAATACTTTATGACAACAGATCACCATTTGAAATCTTTTCTTTGGTTCCACACGAACCATCAAAACATCCCAGGGAATCCTACATCAGTGCACAAACTCCACCTCCCAGCTTTCCTTGTACATTGAAAATGTCTACAAAATCCAGGACCCAGTTTGGGATGTGGTAAATGGAGTCATTGCGCTCAGCTGCACCTTGAAGTCGGAAGTGGTTCTGTCCTTGTCCTGTGGGTTTCTGGGCCACCTCGGCATCGTCTCAGAGCCACTTCTCTGTTTCGGACCCAAGAAGACCACCACGGGGACAGGTGCCTGACCTTGGGTCACCAGTGAGTGCATTTTTACAGCAGCACCAATCTCACACATAGTTTTATCAACAAATGAAGGCGTTTCCCTTTGCCATTCAATATATTTGAATATGAAGCTTTTCAAATATATTCATTTTCTAAAAATGCTTTCCAGTATGTCCCAGGGGCCATAAGGACAGTACTCTGAGAATAAAAAGCCTTTCTAAGCCAACAGTACTTGGTGAAAATTAGTGACCCTGCTGGTACAAAGTTCTATTTCCTTTCTTTTTTAAATAAAATGAAAGTTCAAATGTCCTATTAAACTCTCATTGCTTATGGATATTATATTAAGGCTTATAAGTACACCTGGTAAATTAAATCCACCCTGGATTGAATTAACACCTGCTATGTGAGTTATTTGCTTTATGTAATCAGTAATCTCAAGGTTTCTCCTCTTTCGCTGGAGAAACAATTTAAATATTAACCTAATCTTTAAACTACTGCTGCTTCCTCCTGACATTTGGAAACCAGTCATCCATGAAAAATGAAAAAAGGCAAATGTGGCTATATTAATGAAAAGGCAGCTTCTTAACAAATCTTAAGATGTGCAACTCAATGGATTGGGCATATACGTGGTAAAAAGCAGAAGGAAAGTCCATCTGTGTCACCTTCTAGGGAAAACAATGCTGGCCACCTGCCAAGGCCACCTCCAATCAGAGAGATCTGCTGAGGTGGACTGCCGATTCCAAAAGCGTCTTTGCATTTTCTCCATTATATCCTCTGGAAGGAAGGATCTGGGGCAGCTGTAGTACATGTGAGAGAATTTTAATTTTTGAAAACATATTGCCATATGGTTGTAACTCAAGTCGCAGGTCTGACGAATGCTGCCAAAGGAAGTCGGAGTGTGTGAGGTGTGCTGGGCAGGATCCCGTCCTTGGCTGGCTCCGAGTGGGGGGGCCGTGCTCACGTCCTGCTCAGCTGATAGCCCCTGGAGAATATGAAGCTTTCAAAGTGCTGGTCCTCAGCCTTTTCTTTGATGCGCTGCTCCTCTAAGGAATCCACGAGTTGGTCCCTCTGCTTAATCACTTGCATCATCTCATCGAATATTTCTCGCTCTTCCTTTAGATCATTCTCATCTTTCTGGCTCTCTAGAGAAAGAGAAAAAGGAAAACATCGGACCTCAGGTAAGAAGATTTGGCCCCGGGAAAGCTCCTGGCCTCTGCATTCTTGGTTGTCCCAGGCGTGTGCTGCCATTTAATTTCCATGGAGAAAACAAGGAAAAGAATCAATCACTAGGGAACTGCCCTGCCCTCAGAGCCACCGATTAGAAAGGTGGGTGCTTTGTGCTGTGGGCAGCTCAGTTTCCAACTTGAGGATATATCTAAAGTGACAGGGGAGAACCCCTTTGTGAGAAAAAGAAGCTAATACCAGACAAGCCCTCACCCTCCCCTTTTCTGCACACACACACACACACACACACACACACACACACACACAAATGTCCACAAACAACAAAATGTCTGTTCTCCCTAACCATGTCTGAGCTACAGCAAGCAGAGTTTCTAAGCAGACTGCCTACACTCGTGGTCGGTGCTTCAATTATGAGAATCCTTTTTCAATTTGTAGTTAATGATGAACCGTAGCCCTTTGGGGAGAGACCAGGCGGAGCACGGTGAGGCACAGCTGGCCAATAGGAGGATGTAACTGCTCTTCCCCTTAGCCTACACAGCCTGAAATAGCCGACTGCCCTGGGGGAGAAAATATTGTTACAAAGTCGGGGAAAGAAAGGGTAAGAGGCAGGTACTGCAGTCATGCCTTTCTGACATTCAAAACAGGACTTTAAAGCCAAATTTAGGTCTTGTCGCCCAGATCATTGCCTTGGGAGACTTCATGAATTCCGTCAGCCCCTTCCGTTTAATAGATCAGGACCAAGGTGAGCCCCATCCCAGAGTGGCGAAGGGTCGCCGCCCCTCACATCGGGCTTGGATCTAGGTGGGGCCAGGAAGAAGGTGTATATGACAACAGGGAGATAAAGAAGCATCATTCCCTTTGCAGCTCATGTTTTACGGGCCAGTGAGAACTCTGTGTTTCAGTCTCTCTGTTCTGCACCTTAGAACCCCCAAGGGAGCAGGAAATGTATCATTTGATGAGAACACAACATCCAAACAAGACAAGGATGTTGCCTCAAGTCTTTTTTGGAACTCTGGGAAGAAGCCAGCCAGAGGGCACCTTATGTATAAACAGGCAGGACTCTGTGTTTGGGCAGAGAAATAGGGAGTGAGTGTGACTCCCCCGATCTTGATCTAATGTGTGTGGCATGTGTGGAGCCTAGAAATGCTCACTTGCCCCAGAGCTGCCAAAGGGATCCGGCCAGTGGGCCTCTGGGGCTCCCCCAGGATGAGGAGTGAAGTGGCCCCACAGTGAGATCAGGTGGTGAGCCGTGGCCAAGCTGAATGGAGGCTGTTCTGAGAGGCTGGTGAGCCAGGGAACGGCCTTAGGCTCCAAGCTCGCCCAGACAAGGGCAGGCTGTGGATCAGCCAGTGCACATCTTAGCTGCAAATGCTGGCAGAGACAGTGGCAGCCCGATGACAGCAGACAGCTGCAAAGGGACTCTGAGTCTCAGCGCAAATCACCCAGGTTCCTAACACCCAAAACTCACACAAACCTGCCTCTCCCCATTACCTTGGGGGGGGGGGGGGGGGGGAAGCAGAAGGAAGGGGTGACCATCTGCAAGATTGAACATTTTCATCCCAAAGAGACTGAGCATTTCCTACGGGAACTGTTTAAAATATTGCATCAGACTAAGAGAAGGGGGTATAAAGTTCCTTTTTTTCCTTGCTAATTAGAGGGATGAAGCTTTTGTGGAAGATGAGCTCAGATACAGACAAAATGAAGAAGCTGCATTTTTTTTTATTTTTTTTTTGGTACACTTGAGAGGGGTGAGAGAAGGTATGACCATCAGCCCTCAGTAAGAATTGTTTAAAAAAAAAATTGAAGGTTGGCTAATGGAGTCTTTGGTGGTATTTATTTTACCACCCCTGCAAAAGAACACATTAAAATCGGTATCAGAGGTGTGAATCAGACCTCAGTTATACACTATGGTTTGTTAATTAAGTATATTTCAGTTTGGTGCTCCTTATTTGATAATCAACTCAGTAAAAATTTTTAAATTTCTCTCAATTTTGGCTTGTCATCAACAGACCCTTCTAAGCCCTTCTTGACAATAAAAAGTAATGTATAACACTTTCATCTGTCCTGTAGCGTGCAGCTCTGTAAGGGTTTTGTTAGAAATAGAATTCTTGCTATAAAGAAACAGTCTACAAGTCAATACTAACACGAGTCTGTGATGATCTGTACTTTAATTTCAGCCCTATCATTTATTTTGAGCATGCTTGCGAAGTTCCCAGACTCTGTATTCTAATCTGTAAAATGGAGATGAAATACCGAAATAAAAATATTCATGGTGATGACGCATAATGCTTACTACGTGCTTGCCCTGTACCCATAGGTAGGCTCAGTGTTCTGTCCATGAGGTATAGAGGAATTATTTGACTTGTTCTTTTAGACCCATGCGTTGGCCTGGCCCCACAAACACACAGTGCAAAACAGAGTGAACATGCCCAGCTGCCAATGGATGTATAAATCAGTATATCGTGCCAATGCGCTTACTTCAATTCTCTGTCCTTCCTGGTGAAATATTTCCTCACATACAATGCCCCGGCCCCGCCATGCTGGGAAGGATGTTTCCTTTGCCGTCTCCTATGTGGTCCCCAAACCCCTATGTCATGGCGCTCCTCTCACTGTACCATAATTCCTGGTCAGGGACCACAGGGCACGGTGGATCTCCTCCATATGCCAGTCACACACTGGATCCTCCACAAATACTTGCTAAAGGAATGAATGGGTGAGTGAATGGATGTGTGAATAAATGACTTTGTTCCTATTCAGACTTGGGATGGAGCAAAGAGCTGCTCTCCCAGCCTGAGTGAATGAAGCTGGGCGGGGACTGCTGGGCTGCGGACGGTGGGCAGAGGGAAGGCTGGCTTTGTGCTCCCTTCTAACCCCCAGGAAGGAGGGCCCTCCCCTCTGAGATCTGCAGCGTGCTCTGCTCAGGTGTCTCTCTGGGGGGGAATGTCTTTAATAAGAACCCAAAGCACATCACCGTACTCACCCTCCTTAAGCATTTTCTCTCGTAATTTCTGCTGCAGTCTGCTTTGATGATCTTCTAATTCTAGCTCTTGGGCCCTAAGGATGAGAAAGCATTCAGACCATATAAATACTAGAGATGTGTGAAGACACACTGACAAATAAGCTCACTGACAGTAGCTAAGGCGTTCTTCTTCCCTCTTAAAACTGGAATCTCTCTAAACTGGACGTTTTGCTGCTGCCGGTCACTGAAGGTGCCGAGAGGATGGCTGAGATGTGCTGGGCTCAGGAGATGATGGGAGGAACTGAAGGGTGAGATTCGACCTCTGTAGGCTTTTGGAAGACCACCCTTTACTGAAGGGTCATGAGGAAATGACCAGAATAGTCCAAGAGGAAGCAAGGACAATCTGAAACTCTTGTCTCTTTTGAGGGTAACATGACTTCAAGTATTACCTATAACCATTTCCAACTCTGACTTTGGTGGACAAGAAAAGGAGAAAGCAGAAACAGGAGACATTTTGTCCAGGTGAAGACAACAAAACTCTGACAGCCCCCTGGTTGTAGGAGCTGGTGGGGGGAAAAAAGCCCTGGCCAGGTAGCTGAGTTCATTAGAGCATTGTCCTGATACAGCAGGTTGTTGGTTCAACCCCAGCCGGGGCACATACAAGAATTAACCAATGAATCCTAAATATATAATATTGATAAAAGGGTAATATGCAATTAGACTGAACAGCAGAACAACTGAACAACCAATCAAAGCATAATATGCTAATTATATGCTAAGGCAGCTCTACCATTCACTATAACGAGCACTAACCACCAGGAGGCAGATGTTCTGAGAGCTTGCTGCTAGGGTCTGGCAGATCAGGACTGAGCGAGATGGGACGAACACACCTTGGAGCCCTCCCGCAGTCCCTCCTTGGCCTGATTGTGCACCAGTGGGGTCCTTCAGCCTGGCCTGCACTCTCACAATCCAGGACCCCTCAGGGGATGTCAGAGAGCCAGTGTTAGCCTGACCCCACAGGCCACTCCCCTTGGGAGGGTGTCAGATGCAGGGCTCATGGCTGGCAAGCACTGCTGTGGCAGCACAAACCTCTCCCCATCAGGACTGATTGGGCACAACCTTGTAGTAGGCACAGGCCGGGATGAACAGGGGTGGCAGATAGGAGCTGCAGGTGGCATTGAACTGCAGGTTTCAGCCTGATCCCTACAGGCCACACAGAGAGACCCCGCCTGTGCAGAAATGCACTGGGCCTCTAGTGCATAAATAAGTGGAACAACAAATTGATGTTTCTCTCTCACTCTCATTGATGTTTCTATTTCTCTATCCCTTTCCCTTCCACTCTCTCTAAAGTCAATAAAATAAAAAGTATACATTAAAAAAAGAGGTGGGCCCATCATATTTTTGTGACTATATAGATAAGCATGTCTAATTCTGGAGTTTGGGTTCATGTCATGGGTTGAATAATGACCCCAAAAGATATGTCCACATCGTAATCGCTGGAACCAGTGAATGTGACCTTATTTGAAAAAAAAGTCTTTGCAGATGTAATATATGTAGTTAAGGACCTTGAGATGAGAACATTCGGGATTATCCCAGTGGACCCCGAGTCCACTTTATAAAAAAAGTGGATGACACAGATATCCAGAGAAGGCCATGTGAAGACAGAGGCAGAGAATGGAGGGATGCAACTACAAGCCAAGGGATGCCTGAAGCCACCAGAGGCTAGAAATGCAGAGAGCGCATGGCCCTGCTAACACCTTGATTCAGCCTTTCCTCTTCCAGAGCAGCGAGGGAGTACATTTCTGTTGTTATAAAACACACTGTTTGTGGCAATTCGTTATTCTGGCTCTAGGACAGTAACACAGATAGCAAGCTCCCCCGGGCTCTCATATTTAGCCAAGCCATTATCGGCAACAAAGGTGATCTTTTGAAGTTTCATCTATTGGCTTGGTAGTCTTATTTCTCACCTGGTCCAGAATCCAGCCTGGGGAGAGGAGTAGAATGTATTAGGCATCTTAAAAGATAGCTCCCCCTGCCAAAACCGGTTTGTCTCAGTGGATAGAGTGTTGGCCTGAGGACTGAAGGGTCCCAGGTTCGATTCTGGTCAAGGGCATGTGCCTTGGTTGTGGGCACATTCCTAGTAGGGAGTGTACAGGAGGCAGCTAATCGATGTTTCTCTCTCATCGATGTTTCTAACTCTCTATTCCTCTCCCTTCCTCTTTGTAAAAAATGAATAAAATAAAAAATAAAAAATAAAAAGATAGCTCCCCTTACCCCAATTACCTCTCAGGATTGGGGTAAAAATGAAAAGAGACAGCATAAGTGAAAGCACCCACATTAAATGCTACTTCCTCTCCAGAATGGTGACAGGTATCATGACCTTCCACTTTGTCAGAGGGTATTGACATCCATCTCTACTTTAAAAAAAAAAAAAAAAAAAAAAACTGTTTAAAAATTTTTTTTTTATTGATTTCTGAGAGGAAGGAAGAAGAAGAAGAAGAAGAGAGAGAAACATCAACGATGAGAGAAAAATCATTGATTGGCTGCCTCTGCATGCTCCACACCGGGGATGGAGCCTGCCACCTGGGCATGTGCCCTGACTGGGAATCAAACTGTGATCTCCTGGTTCATAGATCAATGCTTAACCACTGAGCCACACCGGCCCAGCCCCTCTCTACTTTCTGTTCTTCAAACCAGGCTGCCGCCCCTTATTTAGTGAAGACTGCCAGACATCCTAGCCTTCAACTCGCTAAAGCCACAAGGAAGTGCACAGGCCAAGCCTCTCCTGCGGTTCACACCCAGAGGCCAGAGACATGCTTCCCTGTGGCAGGTGTGTGGCTGCAGGTGGGTCCCTTTGGTCTGGGCAGCAGGGATGGGTTGAAAATACTTTTCCAAATGCCCTCCAGCTCCAGCCCCATTACCTGAAATCTATTTTAGCTACAGGACTTCACAGGCAGAATAGATAACTGAAGATTCTCGGCACTAATGCCAGCATGATATGCAAGGCATCAAGTATCAATTTGCCTCAATCACAATTTTGTATGCACAAGAAGAAAAAAACCCCGGGACTGCCACCTAGGCCAGCGAGCCACCCCACTCCCGCCCCGAGTTGCGTTCGGGCCTCGCTGCTATCCGCGTTGCCTTACTTACATGATCAGTAGCTCCGACTCATATCGCATTAATTTATTCTTCTCCAGAACCAGCTTAAACCATTCCTGCAAAAGCTGTGCTTCATCCTGTGTGCCTGAATCTGCTTAAGAAATCAACGGCAAATGGGTTAGATTGGCGCTTCTCTCCACCTGATCAAACTGTTTTGGAGCTACTTTAGCGGACCGTGTTTGTAGCAAAAAGAGCTCAGCGGGCAGCAGTCCCCCGATGGCCTGTTGATGCCTCCAGGTCAGGGACATGAAAAATAAAACCCACCTGTGCATGCTCTAGGGGAGGTCCTCTTCCACATCAGGACATGAATACTTCAGTTCCAAGGTCATATACCCTTAATAATGTCCTGTCACAAATGACCCTTCTGTTTCCTTATATGTTATCAGGAAAAGTTCCATAAGTTTGTGCATCACATCCTTCTCCAAAGAAAACCCAATAATCCTTCTGGTTACTATCTCCTTCTCCTCCAACATCAAATGCCCACTGAGTGCCCAGGTGGGGTGTGGCTTCCTTCATGGAGCAGAGGCACAATCCCCTTTTGGTCATAAAGGAGTGGTGACTGGCATTCAGATTTTTGGCAAAAAGAAAGGGCAAATGAATAAATAATGTTATTAGCTTTGAGATTCATAGAAAAAAATTATATTCATATAATCTTATAACTTAATTATGGTTGAGCATTGGCCCTCTGAACCAGGAGGTCACAGTTTGATTCCTGGTCAGGGTGCATGCCTGGGTTGCAGGCTCCATCCCCAGTGTGGGGCGTGCAGGAGGCAGCTATCCGCGTTGGTCAATGATTCTCTCTCATCATTGATGTTTCTGTCTCTCTCTCCTTTTCCCTTCCTCTCTGAAATCAATTAAAAACATTTTAAAAAATGAATTCCCTTATCTCTCTACCTCCTTTTATTAATAAGGAAAATGGGATCCAGGGAGATTTATGTGCAATGCTCTAAGTTATATATTTAATTAATGTGCAAACTGCTGCTACAATGCAGCTCTTAACTTCTGCTGAATTCATTCATTCATTCATTCATTCACTCATTCATTCATGAAATAGGTGTTGGGTAGTACCTTAGGTACTTGGGATTCAGTGATAGATAACCCATCAAGGGACCGTTCTCAACCTTTGAGTGAAACTCTTCTATAGACTCTAAATGCATCCAATTGGTGTCACAAAGCCTACATTTCTGCATCTTGTCTGATGGGAAACTTTGGTAACAAAGTCATTTCCTGAAATCAAGCTCCCCATCGTGGGCCATATCCATCGGCACCTTGCAACTCCACTCAGAAAAGGACATGACATTTGTTTTTCATGGCTTCTTAGTAAACACCAGTGGGTTCCTTAGTAATCTCTAAATGTCTTTCTAAATAGTCACAATTTTAAAAATAATCCTACCTAGAGTTTTGACAGGGATCAGAATTCATGTGTCTTTCCCAGGTGGGAAGCGGAAAATGTGCTCATCTCTAGGTCTTTGGGCTCTGCCAGGCTTCCTGAGTTTTCAAAGACTGGGGTTACAGCTGCAAGTGTTTTCAACACCAGAGGGTTAATAGGGTTCACTCAACAAATTCTGATTGAATAATGCCACATCCAAGGCTCTACGTATGTATCATCTTACACTGGGGCATAGACATCTGAGTTCATTGCTCTCCCCTTTTTTTTTTTTTTTTATCACCTGTCCAGATTCAATTTCCTCTTCTAGATGGTTGCTTAACATGTCTAGATTGAGGACCATTTGCCTCGATAAAGAAAACAGAACAGCTGAGAACTGAGAATCCTGCTTTTCCCCATCCTGTGACATAATACCATCTGCCTCAGCACAGGGTCTGTCTTCTCCTTGTTCCCAATCCAAAAGAAACAGCACTATTTTGCCGTCTTCAGGGTATTTTTTGTTATTGTTTTTCAGATTCAGCCTCTTTGCTGCAATATTTCCTCAGGCTCCAGCCGCCTTTTATCCTGGATTTCATGTCCCTTTTCCAATCTTCCTTATGTGTCCTTCTACAATCTGGCCCATTAGAAAGTCTCCTGTTGCAGTCCCACTAATTTGTTTATTCATCCTCACCTCAGGGTATTTTCCCATTGATTTTTAGAGAGATTGGAAGGGAGAGGGAGAGACAGAGAGAAACATTGATGTGAGAGAGACACATGGATTGGTTGCCTCCTGCACGTACCCAACTAGGTCTGGGGGAACCTGCCACCAAGGTACATGACCTTGACCAGAATCAAACCCAGAAATCTTCAGTCTGCAGGTAGATACTCTCTCCGCTGAGTCAAACCGGCTAGGGCCCCACTGATTTCTATTGGTGCCATTCTCCACAAACACAGGTTGAACTGAATGGATCGATTTAATTTTTTTTTCCAATGGAGTAATTTGTAATTTTATAGTCTATAGTTCATTTGTTTAGAGTTTTCCTTTCTTCACTAGTCAAAAACCCCTTTAAGGGGTCATCGAATATAGACTCCGGTGCAGGTTCCCAGGAAATCTGCCTTTCCAAAGGCTGGGGTCTATGGGATTGTGCCTTGCCCATACCGGCCTTGCTCTCAACTCTAAGGATGCACCGAGACTTTGGTCCATGCTCTCCATCACCTCACCACCTCCCATCAGAAAACTTTCTGTGGGTTCCGGTGCAGCCTGGACCAGTGTTGCCCCTCACTGCAAATGCAGCGGAGCGAAGTGGCAAAGGGCCTGTGCTTGGAGATCCAGCAGCCTGGCTCAGCCACTTCACTAGTGTGTAACCTTGGGCAAGCAACCTCACATCTCTCCACCTCGGTGTCGTCCAGTGAAAAACAGGGATGATCCTAGTACCTGCCTCCCAATCAGGTATGGGGATTAGGTGCAATGTTGCCTGTCAAATGCTTACCACGGTGGCTGGCACATAGCAAACCATCCATCAACTGCCTCGTTGCTGCTAGTACCTGCTGTTTCCTCCAGTGTCGACTTTTATACAGTTTCCTGTGGGTGATTTTCAGTTCGCCTTTAAAAGTCAGCTAGAGAGTAATGCCTGGCTTGGTTCTACAGGCCTAAACTTTGCCTTGTGACTTCACTCAAGGTTAATAAAAACTCTTCACAAATTATTATTATTTTTGGCCCCACGTAAATGAGAAGGTCAGATGGCTGCTGGCTCATCAGCACCTGCTCAGGAGAAAGCCAGCGCTCTGCCTGCAGGGATCATTGGCTCAGGCACACCTCCATCTACAGCCGCTGTGGGACGGGAAGCCTCTCTAGGGCATGGGTTCGAGTCCTGTGTCTGGGAACCAGGGCGCAGCTAGAATGGCACTGCCAGAGGGTGTGCAGCCCTGGCTCTGTCTAGATAGCTCAGCCACCTACCTCTGACAGCCTCCTCTGCCAGTGTTAGCACCAGCTGGTCTTCATTAGCTCACGTGTACTGTACTCATAGCAGGCCTTTTCCTAGACAGTATGCAAGGTTTCCAATTGCTCAGGTGGAGCAAAGTAATCACAACTCAACACAACACAACTTCTTATTAATGGAGTTATATTCTGTGCTCTTCAACTTTTATTATTTTAGAGAGGAAGGGAGGGAGGGAGGGAGGGAGGGAGGGAGAGAGAGAAAGAGAGAGAGAGAGAGAGAGAGAGAAACATCAATGATGAGAGAGAAACATTGATAAGCTGCCTCCTGCACACCTTACACTGGGGACCGAGTCTGCAACCCAGGCTATTTTTGTGCTTTTGATAATCAATCCTGGGGCCCTTTAGTCCACAGGCCAGCACTCTACCCACTGAGCCGAACCAACTAGGGCTGGAGTTATTTAAATTGGCCTTCTTTTCCCCAAGTGAGCTCTAAAAACTACAAAGCAAGTTTGGTTACTCCCTACTGAAGTTGTCAGATTATCCTCCACATTCAAGTTCAAATCACCTAGCTGGACCACACTCCGTCCCTGCTTCCAGTAGAAGGACTGCCACTTATGGTCAGTAACTTCTTCCCCAGTGAATACTAACAATACATGAACTATATAGTCTTTAAAGTCATGGCTTTCCAACCATTTTCTTTTGTTGGTAATGCTTAATACTTCTCTGATTGTGTACTGGTGTACGTTTTTTTGTTTGTTTGTTTGTTTTTCCAGGTTGGGTCTTGTTTAAACACTGTCTGATTTTCAACTCTGATTCTTCAGATGCGATTTCCTGCCTCCATAGACTCTGTGAGAATCCTTGTCTGGTGTTTTCTGCACTTCTGTGTCTTCCACATCCTCACAGATGATCTGGGCATGAAAGGGCATAGAGTAATGGCAGCCGAACCCTGTATAGGATGTCACTGTGCAGGCATCTCCCCCGGAATGGCCATGGCCGGGGTGCAGCCTTTACCTCTCCTTGCTGGCCTCTGCTCGGCTCTTAGATCCTGTGCTCATCCCCAGCCCATTTCATTTGAACCTCTAGCCAGGTCTCTGTGCCCAGTGCTCCAGGTACCCTGATCTCCCATGGGTGCCTTACATGTGTTGGTGATGATCCAGAACACTGCACTGTGGGCGTGGCCTGATTCAGTCTTGACCAAGCCAGGATGCTGGAAGGAAACCCCCCCCTCTTACTCTCTCCCCCCGCCCCCACTCCATTCCATTCTGGGAGCCAGAGCTGCAATTGAAAAACAAAAGGTCTAGTGTCCTTCCTTTTTAAACACGTGTTTTCTTTTGCTTTTGGCTACATATCTATTCATTCTAAATAAAGTTTCTCTTGCTTTATAATTTTATTGAAATGATATTATACTATATATAATCTAAAACATGCTTTTTTAAAATTCCATGTTATGTTCCTAAAATGCATCCATGTTGCCATTCATTTTCCCTGCTGTGTATGCAGTCTTCAGTTGTATATGCCATGGCGGACTAGGCCACAATTGACCCATTTCCCTGTTAATGGATATCAAGGTTATGCTTGGTGTTTTGCTATTGTGAATGATGCCACTGTGAAGATTCTTGTATGAGTCTTCTGGTCCATGTAGGCAAGAGTGTCTCTGAAATGCACACCCAGGAATGAAATTCTTAGTAAGGTATGCAAATGCCCAGCTCCACAGCATGAGGCCAAATTGTTTTCCAAAGCGTTGTGGATCTTTTCATTTCCAACAACACTGAATAAAAGCTCCCTT